GTCTTTTTTAATATATTTTTATTGATTTCAGAGAGGAAGAGAGAGAGAGAGATAGAAACAATGATGAGAGAGAATCACTGATCAGCTGCTTCCTACACACCCCTACTGGGGATCGAGCCCGCAACACGGGCATGTGCCTGGACCGGGAATCGAACTGTGACCTCCTGGGCCATGAGTTCTTTTTGGGGCCAGGCCCAAGGTTGACCCCTTGACCTTGGAGAAAGGCCAGTCTCGGTGGTCCCTCGCTGGGTGTGTCCAGTGCTAAACACTTCTGCCCCAAGGCCTGTCTCAGCTCATCATCACCGATGTGGTCTGGCAGACAGTCACGCCAGCCCCCAGCTGTGCAGACCCGGCCTCCTGCAGCCCCGGCAGCACTGGCTGTGGGGAAAGGGGGAGGGTGGAGGGGCCAGGTGAAGCCTGGTCCCCCAGGTGGGCAGGCACGGGCAGTGCCAGCGGCCCTGACTCACTGCTTCCTCAGAACGGCGAGCTGACCATGCTGGGAGAGATCACCCACCTGCAGGGCATCATCGACGACCTGGTGGTGCTGACCGCAGAGCCCCACAAGCTGCCCCCTGCCAGCGAGCAGGTATGGCCAGGCCTGGGCACAGAGAAAGGGTGGGGCAGGGGGACGGCCTGCCCTTGGTTGGGGACAGTAGAGGAGGAAGGGGGACAGCATTTAGGGGACACTGCTGAGGACAAAGGACCAGACATGTCCTGACACCCACTGTGGGGCATCCAGGGGCACCTGCCCAGGTGAGGGGTGATGCACCCCAGGACCCAGTAGGGGCTCAGACTGTGTGCAGATGGACAGAGGCCCCGGATTCATGGGGCTTGGCCCTGACCCTGCCCGCCTCACCCCCGCACCATGCTCCCACTGCGCCAGGTCAGCCCCCGGCAGCCCTGTGGCATTGCTCTTCCTGGGCACTCAATGCCCAGCACTGCTGAGCACTTTCCAGGCCATCAGGGCATCACCCTCCAAGACAGGAGGGATCGGGGGCTCAGAGGGTCTACAACTGGCCTGAGGGGCACAGCAGAGCCAGGATCCGAACCCCCTGGTGTCCTTCATGGTCACTCTCACCTGGCTCCCCTGCCAGCGACAGCGCGTCCTCAGGGGCCCTGCTTCTCCCATATCCCCAGGGGCCGGGCTCAGAGCTGACTGTGTGTGTGTGCGCGCGCGTGCTGAACCCGGCCCCCTGGGCAGCGTCCCTGAGAAACAGCGGAATCTCCCAGGCATCCCCCAGCCCTCTGGCAGCCTTGCTTCCCGCCCCCAAGTGAGGAGCTTTTCTTAGGAAAGGGCTTGGGGGGCTTCGGGGGGCTTCAAACTCCCGGGATCTCCTGCGGGGGCCGGGTTCTCAATTGAGAAGAGAGGAGGGGGGCCCTGGGCCGACCAGCCCTCTGAGGGACCCCAGGAAATGATATGGCCATGACCTCCATCCCTGTCCCTGTCCCTGTCCAGGTGATCAAAGACCTGAAGGGCTCGGACTACAGCTGGTCCTACCAGACCCCCCCCTCGTCGCCCGGCAGCTCCAGCTCCCGCAAGTCCAGCATGTGCAGGTCAGTGGGGGGCAGGCACGGGAGGCTCCCACCAGACCTGCAGCAAGAGTCGCTGCGGGGCCCACAGTTCAGTTCCTGTGTCACTGAGGGATTTGCAAGTGGAGAGGGAGAGTGCGCCCTCGGCACAGGGCGGCGGGGTCCACGGGGTCCGCGGGAGGGTTTGTGCGGGAGCAGCTACCCCGTGCCTGGGGCCCTGCTCCGTGCTCCATGCATTCTCCTTACTGAATCCTAACACACTGTGTTGGGTTGGGGTTGTCCCATTTCATAGACGGGGAAACAGACCTAAGACCCAGAGTCCCAGCAGGTAACCATCGACTGCCAGGCCCAGCACAGGCTGGGGGAATCGTAAGAATCCCAGGTTGGGGAGAGGCGTGGCGGCTTCTGGAAGCGTGTGCTGAGGCCACCGGCTGACAGACGCTCCGGACGGCTCCCGAGAGCTGGTGCCTGGGCAGCCGCCACGGCCCGAACCCCAGCCCAGCCTCACTTAGTCGCTGGGCACTAGGGCAGCACTTGGAGAAGATGTGTAAGGATCAAGCTCCTTGGTGGGAAGCAGTGAGCACAGAGCAAGTTTCTCGTTCTGGGGGAGCCCCCTGTGCCGGGCACCCCTGCCCCAGCACCCCCTCGGGCCAGGTGTACTGGACCCGGGTGGTGGCATCACAGGAGGGAGTGCTGATCGCAGGGACACCCCTGACCAGAGACGGGGCAGGTGGACGTCGGGGTCACACTCGGGAAGCCCTCATCCCCGGGGGTGCAGTGGGCGCAGAGGATGTGAGCAGCAGGGCTGGGCTCCCTCGGGTGGAGGGGGCGAGGCAGTGGTGGGTCCAGGACTCACGCAGACCATCCCCACAAATCCAGTTGGGGTTTGACAGAGTCAGACTGAGAGGACCGTGTGGAAACAGTCAGACCTGTGTCTGGTTCTAGCGCAACTGGAAGCTGGCACCTGGCGACTCGTTTCCTTGTTAGCCTAAGGCAGCGGTTCTCAACCTGTGGGTCGCAACCCCTTTGAGGGTCGAACAACCCTTTCACAGGGTCGCCTAAGACCATCGGAAAACACATATATAATTACGTACTGTTTTTGTGATTAATCACTATGCTTTAACTATGTTCAATTTGTAACAATGAAAATACATCCTGCATATCAGATATTTACATTATGATTCGTAACAGTAGCAAAATTACAGTGATGAAGTAGCCACGAAAATAATTTTATGGTTGGGGGTCACCACAACATGAAGATCTGTATTAAAGGGTCGAGGCACTAGGAAGGTTGAGAACCACTGGCCTAAGGCCTGTTCTAATGGGAGCATAGGAGGAGAGAGATTGCCGCCGCCCCCACCCCCACCCCCCGCGTGCCCTGATGGCGTATGTGCCCTGACCAGGGATCTCTGGTGCTGTCCTCTGCCCAGGCCCACCCTGTCCCACGGTCCCAGAACCCAGCTCCCCTGGTACCTGGGTCTCAGGACCTTGTAGTCTAACACTATCTTTTCCTTCCTTTGCCCCTCACCTGTCTCCCCACCCTCGTCTTTCACCTTCCCTCCCACACACACCCCTGTGTCTCCCTGTCTGGCTGCTGTCCCCCCGTTCACTCCCCCAGCGCCCCCAGCAGCAGTGGCAGTGCCAAGGGTGGCGGAGCCCCGTGGCCTGGGGGTGCCCAAACATACTCACCCAGTTCCACCTGTCGCTACCGCAGCCTGGCGCAGCCAGCCACCGCCACCGCCCGTCTCTCCAGCATCTCCTCCCACGACTCTGGCTTCGTCTCCCAGGATGCCGCCTACTCCAAGCCTCCCTCACCCATGCCTTCAGACATCACCAGCCAGGTGAGGGGGTGTCCGGGCCCCTGGGATGGGCACACTGGCCTCATGCCAGCCTCAGGCTATTCGTGTGCGGGGGGCCACCACACGGGGAGACTGAGCT